GCTCAACCTTTCCCTCCAAATTGTACCTGTATTGCCACTCTGTAGCCAAACAGGTTAGTAAGAGTCATTTCCTAAAAAGAATGCTTCCATTAATGCGCCTAATAACATGCAGAGATTACAAAGGCAAGTCAGACTTTACTGTAAAATTACTAGGGATGCACCGATAACGTTTTTTCGGTATAGATATTTATCTTTTGGTACTCGCCGATACCAAGTACAGATACCGGTACTTCCCCTAGCAAGGAGTCGGCTTCCCCGGCAATCAGGAAGCTGGGAGGTGCGTCATTACCCGCTGCCCAGCTTCTTGATTGCCTGGGAAGCTGGCAATGCTGTTTGGTCAGCTTGATGCTGGCTTCCCAGCAATTCAGCATGGAGCCGGCTTTCTGGCCAATCAGAAAAGGCGGGAGGCAGGTACTTTACTTACTGCGGACGTCTGAACCCAGCATTACTTACTACTGGCCCCCAGAACTCTGCATAACTTACCACTGACTCCTGAACTTTGCTTTACCATCTACTGACCTCTGAACTCTACATTGCATACTATTGACCACTGAACTCTGCAATACATACTACTGACCTCTGTGCTATATACTACTAACCTCTTAACCCCGGATTACATGCTACCGACATCTGAACTCTGCATTATTTATTGCTGATGTCTGAACTATGCATTATTCACTACTGATCCCTGAACTCTGCTGCATTACTTACAACATACCCCTGAACTCTGTTACTTTCTTCCTGAACTCTACTTACCTACTACTGATCACTGCACTCTGCTGAATCGCTTACTACTGACCCCTGCACTCTGCTGAATCGCTTACTACTGACCCCTGCACTGTGAATTAAAATGTGAATGCCAAGCTTTAATCACACAAAAAAGGTAGGATAAGTTTAACAATGGCATTTGTATTATTATATTTTTAATGGTTTGTTTATAACCTTCATTACATTGTGCAGAACTGCTATGATCTTGTGTTGGCTTGTAGTGTGTACTTCCACACTAAAAGCCATACACTATGAAGCTACGCCAACTTTATTGGCTATGCCTAAAGGTGCGTTTTGCAAGTGGCACGCTATGCGTGCCGCATTTTTCTTGATACCGTAATACCTTCAAGGCATCCCTCCTAACTATGCATGCATATCTTACCTCTTATGCCAGTAGAGGCTGACCTGTCTGCTGCATGAACTCAGGACCTATGATAACTGTTGTTTAACAAGTCTTTTAGTTTTCTTGCGGGTAATTGTGATAAGCATTTTTGTGATAAAGAACTTACGTGGTACTTCTGCTTTATCAAAAAGACAAAAATTACACAAATGTTTTTGATATGCGAGGCTAGTCCATTACAATAATCAACAATTTAGGTGTTGAGATTCAGATTATTACAAATCTGCATTGCTGACTTTTTTAAAATTTTTTTAGGTAGGTTCACTCTCCCACTTAAGGACTATGCCATACTCTTTCTCCATCCTAAGCATTGACTGCTTGGGTTTTTAGCCCAAGTGCTTGCTACTCATACCAAAATCAAATGTAGTAAACTTTAGTGTTTGTAAACCTGCAGGTAGATGTGATGTGTGCCAAATGAGATTTCCCCTGAGTGTTTTAACGTATGTAATTTTGGCTAGACCATGACACTTTTCTCAATGTTTATAAGCAGTTCAATGATATGTCCTTCACTCCATAACATCCTGCTAGGTGTGCAAACAGAAAAAAGATTAAGAACTATTGCATTAGAACGCCCCAGATTCTAGACCTCCTCCGACACCCTGAAAAGGTATGCACAGACATTTGAAGGTGCATGCTTTGAGAGTCACAGCTTTACATTGTTTGTCTGTAAGGAAATACTAACATTAAGTTTTCAATACCACCAGTACAAAAATATGGGGCTTTGGAAATGTCGATCATGTCTTTGAATGTAATCTAAAATGTTCCTTATATTAGGACAGATTTTAGCATTTCTGAAACTGTTGACAGATTGATGGGTGGGGATGAATATGCTATTCACGTCACAAGCGCTTGTGCCTGGTGTGTTCATAACACATATCACACGCTTTATGCAGCATTCATCAATCACAAGTTTCTTCAGTTTATCTAACTACAGTACTTTAAACGATGGATGTGTTCTTTTCTACTTTCAGCAAAAAAATAAACAAAAAAAACAGAGCTATTATTTGACTCTGACATTGTAATTATGTTGCGCATAAATCCGATCACTGCGTCATGGTAAAGAACATAAAAACTCTGTAACACATTTTCTATGGAGATAACAGTCTTGTAAATTCTGTTCCCATCTAATATTAATTTTATAGTTGCGCGTGACATTCCCAATGTCTGTAGTGACTTATGTCAATTCAGTTCTTGTCAATTGTCTGCTTTTTTTCAGTGGGGGATATTCTGCAGTAATTCAGCCTGCTTGACAATAAAAATCAGCAGTGTAGTCACTATGTCAGTGTAAAAACAGAAGTATTGGAGACGTATAAACATATATCATACCGTGATAGCACATAAACAAAGATTCATTACTGGGCATGCACAAGTCAACACCTAAGGTTGCTGAATTAAAAACAAATCAGTGTCAGGCTAGTTTACAGCGAAGAAGTTAAATGAGAGGGTGGTAGAATCTAAATTGATTTTTGTCTCTGTATTAGGAGCAAATGGGAAGAGAGAATAGATCAAAGTGAAATGCGCCTTTGTGAGGCTACAAATGCAATTTTAGATAATGCTTTCTTTTAGCAAATGAAGGTGTGAAGGAAGTGCACTATATTATAACAAAACTTTTCAAAGAGTTTGACTTTGGTGATGAACCCCTGCCCAGCAGGCCACAAAACCTACTTTCCTATTTACGATTAAAATGTTGCTTTTTTGCCTGCAAATAAATATATTGATTTGACGAGTGAGAAAGAAAAACACTTCAGAATGTCTAGCAGAAAAATCCGGAGTGTAAAGTAGTCATGCAGAGTTTGATGTGTCAATTAAAAATGAAATTTTCTATGCGCCAAGTGGGTTAGGGCAGTGAAATATAATAAACACACGATGAATTATCTAAATATCTCAGTGTGGACCTCTGAGTCATAATATTCAATGGACTTGACCCTTTTATTCTGCTGTCCAAAGCGTTAAGGAACTATTCTTCTGCACAGTGCATAAAACCTGAGGGTGGGGTCTACCCCTCTTAATCACTCCCCTTCCATCACCCACTAATGTTGTTCTGAAGTCAGAAGGTTCAGAATAATCAAGGCGGAATCTCATGTGCCATCTACCTCGAAATGTGGGAGAATATGCAGTGGAGGGTCAGCTGTGAATGGTGAACAGACAATGAGCTCCAGTATATTAAAACAATAATAGTGCAGGTTATATTATACAAAGCTTGCACTAGATTTAAGACTTGGGCCTTGTGGGGTAATTTAAAACATCAACATATCAAATTTGTGTTTGTTTGTTTTACAAAGTACAATCAGATATCCTAAAAATGATGTATTTGTTAAATTGTTTCATATCAGCAAAGCAGACCTTTTAGTTCAATTCTTACACTTTAATAGATATCTTCTCTATATATGACTCCTGACCCACAAGGGCCATACATATTTTATTATTGGTATTCATATAGTGACGACAATTTACACAGCGCTTTAAACAGCGCACATTCCCATTAGTCCCTGCTCTCAAGGTCCCTATCTTACATACATACAAGGGCCAATTTAGACAGGAGCCAATTAACCCATCAGCATGTCTTTGGAGTGTGCGAGAAAACCGGAGTACCCGGAGGAAACCCACGCAAGCACAGGGAGAAAATGCAAAGTCCTTGTAAATAGTGACCTGGCCAGAATTCAAACCAAGGCAGAAGTCCTAACCATTACGCCACTGTGCTGCCCAATTTTTAAAATTGTCTCTTACACCTATGGATATGCTGCTAGACTACACAGTCAGCAGAGACCTGAGTTCTAGCCAATACAGGGATTCTAACCCTTAAAGTGACATTAAAGGATATTTTTCCCCCTCCCTCCAATGTTAATGTCAGCACTTACCTTAAATGATGTATCGTAATCCGATCTTCCTCTTCTTTCCTGATGTTTTCATCTGTCCCTCCAGCAATGCGGCGGCTCTCCGATCCAGCGCTGACACCTTTCTGCTTGCAGGCACTTCCGATCCAGCGGTGTCTGCATGCGGGTGCACGCGTCCATAGACTTACCTTGCGTCTCTGCTCGTCTCCCGGCCGAGAATCCAAACTGCGCATGCGCGTGCCCCAAGATGCTTTGCGGCCGCCCGAGCGATTTCGATTTCTCGGGCGGGAGCGCGCAGCGAAAACAAGGTAAGTTTAAACCGCTGTTAAAGCGGTCTTTGTTTTTTTTTTGCCTATATCTACTGCTTGACAGCAGTAGATATAGGCAAAAAAAACAGAGGGTTTAGAACCCCTTTAAGGGCTTTAGGTGCATTCAGCTGGCAGAGATTAGACTGTGATGTTACTAAAGTCCTTCTGAGTTCTTCCATAGGTGCTTCTAAAATCCTAAGTTTCATCTAGCTGCTTCTGTATTCCTGTTGATTTGTACTAGAAGAGAAGCAGTTCTGACCTGAATGCCTGTGTGCACAAGCCCTGAGGCAGTAAGACTGGGCATGTAGTCTAATTGTCATTCTGATAGATCTGTTCTATCTGTGTTAGAGGTGATCTGTTCTATCTGTGTTAGAAGTGAGTTCTAACACACCATGAAGAGCACAGGAGATATCATTAATGGATGTTAATATAGCAATTCATGTTTAAGCAGAGTGACCCAGTGAGTCTAAAATATCCGAAATGGGCCAACTGTTAAAGGCAGTTATAAAATACATTGAGAAGAAGAAAAAAGCCGATCAAACAAGTTTTCTAAAACGGAATCACACTGCAGGTTTTTGTTTACAAATTCTATAATAGGCAAAACACACTGCACTTCAAGTTTTAAGACATACATTCTATATTATAACAATGGCTGTTTAACAATTTTTCTGAAAAAATTATGAGCTGTACCTCTAATTGAGATCTTCTCTCAGCAATAACTCGTTCATCCTTGTTTCCAAAGAGCTTCTTCGGAGGAAATTCTAAGGCAATAAGCTACAAAAGAGCACCGGAAAAGAGATTACTTTGGTTTCTTTAATGTATACAGTCACAGAAACAGTTTTTTTATTAATTACATTCCTCGTCTTTGCTCCTACATGTATTATTAAACAATAACTTCTGAAGACTGCCAATAGAGTGTATGGTTAGTTTATTAATAGATGTCTGATACATAGCAGAGTATGATCGGTTACAATGGCACACATGGTAGCCCTTTGTACAGCATTAATGTATGTTTTTTGCTGCCTTTGTGTTTTGTTGCCTTTGAGCAGAATCTTCTTTGCTATAGGATGGATAAAGGGTGAATAAACATATAAAGAGTTTGTTAAACCTACATACAAAAGTATCTAAAGAATGAGCTAAGTACGTGATCCTCTAATATTTCTGCATACTCACAATATTAAGATCTATACAGCAGGAGTTGGAAGACAAATATAATCAGTTGCTGATAAAGGTCATCTCAGGTGCCTTTACGGATTGCCACTTCAAGCTTGGCAAAAGTAAATCCTACCCAACTTTAAGCTTTCAAAAGTAAACATCCTGCCTAAGAGCAGAAAACACAAGACGTCTTTACTTTTATTAGTTAGCCTTTCTTTAATTTAATTTATTTTTAGTACTGGGGCTAATTTTTTCCCGACTTGATAACTAAGCTCCACCAACTAGCATTCCGCTATCCAGTGAAAGCACCTTTACAAGCCATTTAAATAGTCTCACTAGGCTGGGAAATGACAGTTAACAGGGCTTAAACATTTATTAGAAGAAGTCAGCAGCCTGTAACCTAGTTAAACTAATTTAGAGGTAGATACAGAAGAAGCCTTTGGGGGTAATAAAGGTAACAGCATGCATCTTGAAGTGTCTGTTCCTGGGGCAGCACTTTAAATTTAAAATTTTGAAAAGGAGCACAGTCACTTTAAGGAATAACTCTCCTTTTCAGACCATGCTTCAGGTGACATCTATATTCAAGGTGCAACATGAACCATGGTCACATTGCCCACAACCCCCCCCACTATTACCTGAATCGTAGGGTTCTTCTACCCACAGGTTCTTATTTTTTTTATTTGGCACTGCCCACACAACCACATTATTCATCTACAAATCTATTCACAAGCACTGAGAATGTAGAGACTACAAGACCCAGCTGCGTGAAAATAGGACTCCTAGATGACAGTGGATTACAAGGGGATTACACCGCACTGGAAGTCAGTCGATACTTCTTCCTATCCTATAATTAAAAGTCCGTAACTCCATATGGACGGGCTCAGAAGTAGAGCCCAAAGGACCCTGAGCATGGCACCTGTGATCCACTGATTGTGTTTTATGAATGCGCATGCAGTTTTTTAATTGTTTTAGAAAAGGTCGACTAGGCCTTAAAATAAAATGATGCAAAAATTAATGACATGTAGCAACCCATTGGAAAAATCAGAAATGTCAAAGGCTTAGGGCAGTAACAGACATAAGAAGTGGTCAAACGAGTAGCTACGTTTTGGCTACTGTCCAGCATACATATCACACAGTTCCTCCATAAAAAAAAAGCTCAGTTTGGCCAAGATGAATATAATAGAGTATTATAACCAATCATATATTCAACAAAGACTCATAAAACATTTATAACGCATTTAAAGATAAGACAATGTATAAAAGGAATTTAAGCAGTAATACACTGAGGACAAAACAGCTCTCTCTATATAAATGATTCATAAAATAAAATGAGAAAGTGAGGATGTGGAAATATAAGATGCATTCGACCTCAAGTTTCACAGCATCTCGTCTAGCTGACAGTTTCAAGACAAAGAGCAGTATAGTAAATTTGATAAAGAGTGTTGGTGTAAAGTTAATGAGGGCTAAAATTAAACATGTATCAGGGAGATAAATCATTGCTAGATGCTGATAATTAGAATTAGCACAGATCATATATTCCCTTATAAAACTCCTTGTTAATGGCTCATAAAATGAAAGTAAAGCAAAAAGGGCAGAAGGTGGAAATAAAGAAAAAAAATACAGTACCTGAAGTGAAAGAGAAGAAAGAAAATGGGCAGAGAATACCAATAAACTGATGCTAAGATCTGCCCATTTTCCATACATTCCTTTTTACACCATGTGCTTAGTTGGGCCTGACCTGAATTTTAAAGAGGCTCCTATGAGAGAAGGCAGAAGAAGCAGACATTTCTAAAATCACAAACTGAACACTTATTGCATAAGAGTGACTGAATCGGCTAAGGCTCATCACTGCTTTGCCCTCATTTGGCACAGAAGCCAGGAAATAGATGCTTCCAGCATAGTTTTTTTACTTGTTTGCTTTTATTACTTTATTTCAGGTATTTATATTGCACCAACAATTTACATTGCACAGTCACATCAGTCCCAGCCCTCAAGGAGCTTACAGTGTAAGGTCCCTATCTCACAGGCATACATACAGGGCAGATTTAGACAGGAGTCTACTAACCTACCTACCAGCATGACTTTGGAGTGTGGGAGGAAACCCACACAAGCAAAGGGAGAACATGCAAACTTCATGCAGATAGTGATCTGGCCAGGATTTGAATCGGGGACCAGTGCTGCAAGGCAGAAGCGCTAATCACTACGCCACTGTGCTGCCGCAGCCTTTAAACTGTATTCCCACAGGCTTAAAAGACGCATACACCAAATGACAGCTGTCACACTTAAAGTGACACTAAACTCAGGAGTTAAATCTTAAAAAAGCATTCAAATACCTTATCTTACTTGTGTGTCACTCAGCTGTAGATACTCAAATCATCTCTGAATTGGTGCCGACACTGTCCTTCCTTCTGGAGGGTGGCTACTTTTGTTCCCCATGGTCCCTGTGTGTGTTGTAAAGTAGCCACCGCTCCTAGCTCACTCCTGTGATGGACTACAATGTCATGTTTAGTTTACCAATTTGTATTGAGGTTGCAGTCCATCAAGGGAGTGAGCTTGGAGCAGTGGATACTTTACAACACACACAGGGACCATGGGGAACAAAGGTAGCCACCCTCCAGAAGGAAGGACAGTGTCAGCATGAATTCAGAGATGAATTGAGGATCTACATTTTTTTCAAGATACATTGTTATTAGGTAAGGCACTTGAATGCATTTTTTAAGCTTTACCTCCTAAGTTTAGGGTCACTTTGATCTGCCAGTGACCTAGATAGTACAAAAGTCAGAGGATGAACATAACATAATAGCCAGGTAACTGACATTTTCAGAGAGGCCAGCTACTACCGCCTACATAAGTTTCTCAGCAAAGGATCCCTTTATATAAGTTATCGCTGGGAAATTGAGGATTTTTTAAACTATTACACAGGAGTTAGGAGATATGTTTTAGAGCTACTTAAAACCCCAGGAAAAGGTAACTTATAATTGTCTCATTAAATGTTACTGTATCTATTAGTTTCAAGCTACAACTTAATACAGCAATATAAAGAATTAAAAATGAATGCAACTCGTAAAACCCTAAGATCAATTAATTACATTCTAAAAGTCTATAATAAAATACATATAGGATTACACAAATTGCACCAATAAACCTGTGAAATAACTTGTATTTAAGAACCAACATCCAAGATACTGAGAGATGGAGATTTCAGAAAATAAAGCAGATATATCAGTATCGGAAGAGATAGTCCCCAAAATCTGTAGGAGTCAATTGATCCACAGAGTCCGAAAATTGATCGGATTGGGTCAATTTAAGATTATTAAAAAAAACTGCAAATATTGACTAATCTGCTGCAAATGAGCTAATATCGAATATACAGAGCTTTTCCTTTCAAAAAGTTAGCAGCCTACAACATCAGGTACAGTATATTGTTTGGTACTCCACTTGGTAGGATGGATGGCATTATCTTTGTTCAGGAATCAGCCGGTATCAGCATCTTCCTGGACCGAGAGATTACACAATCGTGTTAATCCTGGTGCCTGCACAGTTTATGGTTGAGTTCAAAAATGAACTTCTGACATAGATCAGCCTACTGCTACAGCCTCTTACCTTGTGACTATCTCCTAAGTTACAGTCTGACCAGTGGGGGGACAAGAGAATGTATAAATGCTTCCTCCTACCTGCAACAGATTGATTACATCATCTCAGCTTGGGCAAAGTCACTTGCCTGAACAACAAGAGCGGCTTTTAATTGATAAAAAGTGGTTCTGTTGCTCCAAAGTGTCTACTATCTTTATATGTCTAAGGGTTACATATACATCAGTGCCATGGAGTTAATTCTTATATAACTGTAACCACCCTGTCCTAAGCAGGAGTGACTCTTCA